ATATGGTGAATGGGTATATGGTGTTGAGCCAAAGAAATGAAAATTGTGGTGTAATTTGCCTGCGGTGTAATTTGAGACAGGCCAGCTCATTGATAATTTTTTTTTGGATTACGAATAATCATAGCTTTGTTGGAATTTAAATTGAAGTACATGTATTAGAATTTTCATATTACACATGTACTTAATATTTGTAGTCCTCTCCAGTGAGAAATAGCTTTGTACTATTAAAAATTTGATAATAAAACATATTCGATGTCTTACTGTGGATGTAGGTCTTCGATCGAACCACATAAAAACATGTGTGTTTTTTTTTTATTCTTAGCACTTTTTTAGCATTTATTTGCACAATTGTTGAGTAATTGAGATAATTTGATTATTATGTGATACTTGCAATTATTCGTATAGTTCCACAATGGGTAAGATATCTGAAGGGGGTTCCTCTGCAATGTGGGATAAAGAAGTCACCAATATATTTTGTAATCTATGTTTAAAAGAAATTGAGCGGGGGAACAGACCTACAACGTACTTTAATAAGGAGGGTTGGAATAATATTGGTATGAGGTTCAAAGAAATAACTGGCAGAGATTACGATAAGCTTAAATTCAAAAATAAATGGGACCAATTAAAGAAGGAATGGAAAATATGGAAGAAGTTGAAATGTGGTTCTGCAGGTTTGGGTTGGGATCCGATTAAACGGACAATTGATGCTCCCGCTGAATGGTTGACTGAAAAATTGGAGGTAATTTTATATCTACTTCGTGATTTGTTTGCTTTCCAAATTGGTTTTTATAATTTTACTTGCTTAACTATTCACTTTAAAATGTTATATCACAGGCGGTACCTGCAGCGAAAAAGTATAGACAATGCGGGATTGAGTCGGAATTTGAAGAAAAACTGGGCATAATGTTTAAATGTATTGTCGCTACCGGAAAATTTACTTTTAACCCAAGTGAAAGTACCTTTTCAGGGATGCCAGATGAATTTACCCCTGAACCATTGACACCTGATGAAGATGTGCGTAGCATTAATCAGAGAGAGACGGGGGACTCTAGCACAATAAAGAGGCCCAAGTTTGCTAAGAAAAATAAAGAGAAAGAACATGTTTTGAACACCTCCTTCGATCGTTTGATTGAAGCATTTGCAGCTCCACCTATCTCTGATGCAAGCATATTAGACTGTCTGAGGCTTTTGCGTACTATTCCTGAAGTTGTTGCAAATAGGCGATTTCACGCACAGTGTGTGAAAAAACATGAGGATTCAACTAGAATTAAAATATTCGTGGCGCTTGAGCCTGAAATGCGTCATGAATATTTGCAGGTTTTGTTTGATGAATGATATTTTTTATGGATTCATTATGTATCAGCACTAATTTAACTTCTACTTATGTTGTTTTATTTTT